CTCACTACTCTAAAGGGCCCCTTTGGCAGTAGGAAACACATAGACTATTATGGAGATTGATTTTGGAATTTAGATGCACTCTTATTGATTGTGCTTGGCCTGCAACTATTCTAACACTTCCTGACACACAAGAGCCCACTGCAGCAATCACTATATCAATCCACCTCCTTGAAGGTCTTCCTCTCCTTCACTAATCCTCCACCCTTCTGAGTGTGCCCTTCTCCAAGGAATAGCACCTCCTAGCAACATGTCCAAAGTATGAGAGGCAAAGCCTCATCATTCTTGTCTCTAAAGAGCACTCTGGCTGCACACTCTCCAGGACATATCTGTTCATTGTCTTGGCTGTCCATGGGATGTTCAGTGCTTTTCTCAAAAACCACAGCTCAAAGATGTCAATTATTTTTCTGTCATCCTTATTCATTGTCCATCTCTCAGATGCATAGCTAGTAATCAGAAAGACTATGCCCTGAATCATATGCACCTTAATCTTCAAACTGACATCAGTACTTTGGAAAGGACCTAACTGCAGATTTTCCCAGAGCAATGCATCCCCTTATTCTTGACTGCTCAAGGGTGTTAATTGTGAATCCAAGCAAGATGAAGCTATTGACTGTTTCAAGTTCCTTTCCATCCATCATGACACTGCCTTTCAGTCCAGAGGTAAGAATCTTTGTTTTCCTGACATTAAAATGCAATCCATACTGAAGGCTACATTCCTTGATCTTCTGCAACAAGTGCTTCAAGTCCTCCTTACTTTCAGCAAGCAAGGTTCTATTATCTGTGTAACTCAGGCTATGAGTCTCCCTCCAATCCTGATGCCACACTCCTCGTCATAGAGTCCAGCTTCTTGGATAATTTGCTCAGCATACAGATTGAATAGGTATGGAGAGAGAATACAACCCTGACACACTCCCTTCCCAATTCCAAACCATGAAGTGCTCCCCTACTCTGTTCATACAACAGCCTCCTGGTCCAGGTATAGGTTCCACATGGGCACAATCAAGTGCTCTGGGATTCCCATTCTTCTGAATGTCAGCTACAATATGTTAAGATTCACACAGTCAAAAGCCTTTGCCTAGACAACAAAGCACAAATAGATATTCTTCTGGTATTCCTTACTTTCAGCCAAGATCCATCTGACATCAGCCTCTTATAATCAGTGCTAAGCTGATTAACTGTTTGTGATATTGTTTACAATCAGCTGTGGGTAGGGTGAAGTAGGGAAAGGTAAAGTACAGTGAAGATTTGATGATATACTGTTATAAATGACATTGACCAATTGTAATTAATATTATGAAAAATGTATCTGAATGACTGAGTAAAAACCTAGGGTTGTTGTTATATGCTATCTAGTTGCCTGTGACTCATAGCGACCCTATGTATAACAGCCCTAAACCCTGCTCTATCCCTTGCCAATCTTATTGTCTCTGACACATCTCCCTTCATTACCCCAGTGACTGAATCATTCCATCCCATAGAGGGTCTTCCTCTTTTGCACTGTCCTTCCACCCTCCCAAACATGATGTCCCTCTCCAAGGATCAGTCCCTCCTTGCAACATGCCCAAAGTATGTCAGATGAAGCTTCAGAATACTTGACTCCAAGGAGCATTCTGACTTCATCTTCTCCAGGACAAACCTGTTTGTTCTCCTAGCAGTCCATGGTATATTCAATACTCTTCTCCAGCACCACAGCTCAAAGGAATTAATTTTCTTTCTATCATTTCTAGTCATTGTCCAGCTCTCTGATGTATAGCAAGCAATTGCAAAGACCATGGCCTAAGGGATGAAAAAGATCAGACTCATGATCTTTATGTTTGCAGTGCAATATGCTTTGGGCTACTTCACCAGAGTTCATTGAATAAGTCACTAGACTCTAATTAAATCATTTTAAAAATGAAATGAAACTTGGAGATTTAGAAGCATTATTGCAGGTGAAATGAAAGCAGTTATATGATCATCACCCTTCTGTCTCTCCACAGGAGGGTGGTGTTTCAAAAGGCTGTCTATGCCAGAGCTTGGGTTGGAGGGAGTTGGGTGGAGTCTGAGCAGTGTTGAGTGACATGATTGGCTGCTGCACAGAGATCTCTATCTTTCTTATTAAGATCAAAGTGAGTGACAACAAATGTTCCTCTAACCCAGAAAAACTTCAGAAGGGGCTCTTTCAGGAGCTGTTAAGTCACTGACAATTTTACAGATACAGACAGGAAGAAAGGATGCTCCTGAAATTCTCAGTGTTGATCTTCTGGATTCAATTAGCATGTGAGTTTGGGAGATTCCCAATTACCAACAACAAAATCCGGAAGATTGTCCTAAAGGACAGTCCCTGAGGACAAATTATTTTTGGGCTAAATAATAATAATAACATAAAAATGGGAACTTTTAAAAAGGCAGAACTAGAAAGAGCAAGAGAGAAAGAATGAGGAAGGAGAGAAAATCATTACAGGTTGTGAAAGAGTTTCTGAAAAGAATTATTTCCTTCTCTAGTGTTTTGCACAAGGATCCCTGGTGGCTTAGAGTGTAAGAAGGAACTGCTAATTGAAAGGCTGGCTGTTTGAATGCACCCACTGTTCTGTGAGAGAAAGATGAGCAGTCTCCTAGCATAGATTTACAGCTTTGGTAACCCAGTGGAGGTCTTCTGTGAGGTAGTGTTGACTGAACAGCAGTGGGTTTGGGTTAGTTAACAGAGGGTTCTAGCAACTCTGTAGATCAAGTATTTGCCCACTAACCAAAAGGTTATTTGTTCAAATCCACAACCACTTTGTACGAGAAAGATATAGCAGTAACATGAGACAGTTGGCTTCTGTTTATAGCATTGGAAATCCTGCCAAGTAGTTCTGCCTTGTCTTACAGGGCTGTTATGCATTGGAATTGACTTAGTACCAGTCAATTTTAGTGTTTTCCACTTTGTTTCTACACAGGGGAGAAAACCCAGCAGCTGGAGCAGAGACCTCAGTTTGTAAGCATCCAGAAGGGAGAAAATTTCACTACCTACTGCAACTTCACAAGTATTTTCCCTGCTTTTCAGTGGTACAGGCAGAAGCCTGGAGAAGGTCCTGTCCTCTTGATGGTGTTAACTAAGGGTAGCGAAGTGAAAAGACAGAAGAGACTGACAGCTCGGTTTGGTGAAGCAAGAATGGACAGCTCCTTGCACATCACTGCAGCACAGCCTGAGGACATGGGCCTCTACCTCTGTGCGGGGAGCACAGTGCTCTCAGGGCACCTGCCACTTGTACCCAAACCATGCTGTGGGCCCCTGTCCCACTGCTGCCTTGTTGCTCCAGCTCTCCTCTCAGTTCTTGGCAAGGACAGTGGCCACAATCTCACCTCCTTAGAAAGCCATTCTACTGCCATTCCTAAATACACAGGAGAACAAGAGCCCTCTGAAAAAAAGAAAACTTCCAGAGTATGTACCATTTATTAAAAGAATCAGTAAAAATATGGCTTACAAATTACTTGACCATAGCAATCTGTCCCTGAGAATAGTTGAAGCTATTGAACCCTCATGGCTGTTTCCTGGTGAATGTGGATGCAGGCTGGCTAGAATTGAATCTCTATAGCCCTGCCTTACTTAGTAAATTTTAACCTCTTTATGTGCTTTCTGTCCAAAGTGCTAAAGAACAATGATGTCAGTTTGAAGACCAAGGTACACTTATCTCAGCAATTATTTTTTAATGACTTCCTGTGCAACTGAAAAGGTGGACAATGAATAAGTATTACAGAAGAAGGATTGATGTGTTTGAATTGTGGTGTTGGAAAAGAGTGCTGAATATCCCATAAACTGACAAAATAACAAATAAAACCATATTGTTCCTTAAAGGCAGAGATGGTAAAAATTGTCACACTTACTTTGGGCATGTTGTCAGGAGGGACCAGTCCTTGAAACAGACATCGTGCTGGGAAAGATGGAGGGGCAGAGAAAGAGAGCAAGACTCTCTAGATGGATTGATACAGCGACTATAACAATGGGCTTTAAGCATGAGAACAGGGCAGGATAGGGTCAGATTCCAATCTGTTGTTTACAGAGTCACTGTGAGTTATATTTAACTTGATGGCACCTAACAAAAGCAACAAATTATTAATTTAACTACATTTTTTATATCCGCCATAATCAAGCCCAAATTGGAAGCAGTCGTAGCATCCACTTCCACAATAGCTTGCCTCTGGAAAACCTATGAATGTGGAGAGAAGACGAAAGTGATACAGGATGTGTCCAGGACTTTCATTCATGGAGTCACTCTGAGTTGCCTGCGGCTCCGACAGCACTTAACAACAACAACAACAGCAAAAGTAACAAAGGTCAGCAAACAAAGAGACTAAGATCACAGTTTCCTTTAGTCTGTATACAGATCACAGTTGGAACCAATGAAGAGATTTCATCTACCGCCTGTAAAATTTTTCACAAGTTTATGTTTTATTCTCTTACTATACTATTATTTTCTTGGCTTTATAATTTGCTTTATATGCTCAATGATTACTCAATTATAACTCTTTTCTTAAAAATTTTATTATTTTGTGTGTGTGTACAGTCATCTGACGGAGATTGCCCCTCCTTCTCCAGCAGAGCATCTGGTGGATTTGAACCAGGTATCTCTGGGATGGCAGTGCAGCTTCTTACCACTAGGCCACCAGAGCTCCCTTCAATTATAACTCTTAAATAATAAGTCAAATTGACCTGAAGAGGGGACTAAAGCAGAACGTTGTTCTTGTTGTTAGATGCTGTTGAGTATGACTTATAGTAACCCTATGAGAAACAGATCTAAACCCTGTCCTGTCCTGCACCATCTTCATCCACTCTGACACACTTGAGTCCATTGCTGTGGTCACTGTGTCAGTCCATCTCATTGAGGGTCTTCCTTTCCTTCACTGACTTTATACTTTTCCAAGCATGATGTCCTTTTTCAAGCAAAATACAGTAAGGAAAATATGAGTTCTCCCATTTTTCAAATTATTATATTCTATCTCTTCCTGATGGAAGTGAAAACAAGCTACCCTAAAAATAATGGAACAAACATGAGGGTTTTCCCCCAAATCAGAATGATATTATGAAACTTGATATAATGAGAATGTGTAGGAAAAGATGCATGAAAATTAAAGCCTTCGGTTTGCCTTCAAATCATGAGTAAATATATTGGCACAGAGGATATCCCTAAAGTCCATACTTCTAAAGTGAAATCCTACAGATTTCTTCATTTAAGTTAATGGGCCTATAACTCAGTTGTCGTACTAGGCCCCATCACAAAATTTAGAGAGATTTTCTATGAAGCTAAGTTCTGACTATTTGTAAGACAAGGAGGAGGCTTCTAGATAAATGTCCCTAAAAGGAATTTGGTTTAAGACTACAGTTTTATGTTGAGTACATTTTTAATAAAGACACCCAGTGGTTCTTAATGCACTTTGGGAGAAAGTGAGAGTGAAAAATTCTCATAGATATAAGCTTAGAAGAAAAGAGCTGTCACACATAAATTAAGATAACTTGAAGTAAATAAAAGGACTATTATAAATGGTGGACAGGAAAATCAGAAGAGATGGTGCCATAAAAGGGTCTAATAACAGCTGGGCTATTGCCACTCAGACTTGAAAGGGGCACAGAACATTACTAAAACCCAGGAAAACAAAACATTTGGAGAAGCTGTACTAAAAGCAGCCAGGCTCTTAAGTTGAGGGGAAATTAGCTAGTGTATGACTTTCCACAGAGAAGAATGAATATATGGACCTCATTTTTCTTCATCTCACTGATTTTCTGGTAGGATATCCAAGGACTAGACTAAATTGGAAACTTCACACACATACTCTTCCTGTTCTTGCTGTTAGGTGGCAGTAAGTTACAATTTATCTAGACAACAGACCATAAACACTGTCTGACCTGTACCATCTTACAATCACTGCTATGTTTGAGCCCATTGTTGCAGTAATTGTATCAGTCCATCTGGTTAAGGGTCTTCATCTTTATCCTAACTCTTGGGAATTCCAGAACACTTAATTATTCTAATGAGAAACCTATGCTTAGACCAAGAAGCAGTTTTCTGAACAATACATTAGACACTGCATGGTTTAAAATCAGGAGAGGTATATGGCAGGGTTGAATCCTTTCCCCATAAGTATTCAGTCTGTATGCTGAGCAAATCATCCAAGAAGCTGGAATCTATACAGAAGAATATGTCATCAGAATTGGGGGAAGACACATCAATAATCTGCATTAGGTAGATGACACAATCTTGCTTGCTTAAAGGGAGGA